CCATTAAATATAAAGAAAAATTTCTCACATAACTCATTTTACATAAATAAAATGAAGTATGGATTTTAATATTTTCTTAGCAATGGACTTTGAATAAATCAATTTCCATGATCATAAAATTGTTTATTTATAAAATGTGACGACAATCTCTGCCTTATAAGAGCAGTAATAATATTAACAATGGAATACATTTACATAGTGTATACTTTGTACCAGGCATAGTTCTAAGTACAATTCATTTTGTTCTCATAGTATGTCTATTAGGCGAATATTATTATTTTCCTTTTTTTTTTTAGGATAAAGAACGTGTGGTACAGAGAAGTTAAGAAATATATCAAAACCCTCACAGATAGCAAGTAGTGAGCTAAGGATTTGAACCTACGCAGTCAGTCTGCTTCAGACTCTGTCTCTTTAGCCATACAACAGAAAACCTCATATTCTGGTTTATAATGAAGATTTAATGTATTTGTAAATATCTTTCAAAAACAACGTAAATGTATAAAGTTTTTCTGTGTTCCTCAAAGAAAAACATCTTACTCATATTTGTACCTTCCCCTTTGCCAATTTTATCAAGATATAATTGGAATTCAATAAAGCTTCAGAATTAATGGATATTAATAAAGCAGTTTTTAGTGTTTCAATATAGCTTTAAGATATTTTGATAGGAAAATTTCAAGATAATTGCCTTGCAAAAAATGCACATTAGGAAATGAGAAATATTCATGAGCTACATTGCCATCAAAATAATAAAAAACATGTTTAGAAAAAAAAAAATACTAGCAAACTTTTTTGTAGCAACTGTTGGCGGACTCACTTCATCAGATTTTAAGTCCTATTTGAAAGCTACATTACTCAAAAGAGTGTGGTATTAGCCTAAAGCTGGCCACACAGATCAATGGAACAGAAAAGAGAGTCCGGAAACCGACCCACACATACACGGCTATTTATTTTCAACAAGGTGCCAAGGTAATTCAATGGGAGAAAGATTAATCCTTTGAACAAATGGGGCAAGAACAACTGGATATCTATATGCAAAGAAACCACATCAACCGTTACCTCACACCACCTACAAAAGTAACTCAAAATGGATCACGGACCTAAGCGTTAAAAGCTAATGGATCACGGACCTAAGCTATAAAAGCTAAACCTATAAAACTTCCAAGAAAAAATATAATCTTAGTGACTTTTGGTTAGGCAAAGATTTCTTAAAAATAACACAAAAGGCATGACCTATAAAAGAAAAATCAGTAAGCTGAACTTCATCAAAATAAAAAAAACATTTTCTCCCCAAAAGACATTGTTAATAAAATGAAAAGGCAAGCCACACACAAAACAAGTATTTTATACAGGATTTATATTTAGAATATATACAGAACTCGTACTACTCAATAAGAAAACCAAAAACCAAATTTAAAAAAATATGCAAGAGATTTTAACAGATACCACCAAAGACAACACATGGATAGTGAATAAGTACATGAAAAGATACCCAACATCATTAGTCAATAAACAAATGCAAATTAAAACCACAATGAGGTATCATTACATACCCACTGGAATGGCTAAAATTAAAATGATGGACAAGACCCAGCATTGGCTAGGATATGTTTCAAATTGGAACTCATACACAGCTGATAGAAATGTAAAATGGTACAAGCACTTTGGAAAACAGTTTGGCAGCTTCTATAGTAATAAAGTTAACCACACACTCACCATATGACCTAGCAATTTCATTTCTAGGTATTTACCCAAGGGAAATGAAACCATATATCCACAAAAAGCTCATACTCAAATGTTCATCATAGCATTATTCCTAATAGCCCCAAACGGACACCCAATAACCAACGACTGGGGAATGGCTGTCCGTAGAATGTGATTCTGCTCAGCAACAAAAAGGAACAACCTGCTGCTACACACCATAGGGGTGGATCTCAACAGCACTATGCTAACTGAGAGAGTCCTAAGACAAAAGACTGCATACCGTTCGATTTAATTTATAAGAAATTATAGAAAAAGCAAAACTGAAGAATATCAGTGGCTGCCAGGAACCAGAGGATCAGGGCAGAAACTGACCACAAAGGGCCAGATAACTTTTTGGGGTGATGCTGGATGTTCTACGTGGTGATTGTAGTGCTGGTTACATGAAGGTACGCATCTATTGGAATTCTTATTTTGTATACCTAAAATTGGTGAATTTACCTGTATGTAAATAACCCAGTAAAGCTTACAAAAAGGAAAGAAACCCCTTTACTTCTACACCAGTGCCTGGAGCACACAGTGACAGCCCGTCACATGGTGACTGCCGAGCAAGAGTTTGAAGACTGGGAATCCTAACCCACTACCTGACGCTGCAGAACCAGCTCCAGGTGGAGACTCCCTGTGCGGTAACAACATGGACAGCTCCCTGGCAGCAGAACGCTTATTCCCGCTCTTGTGTGTAACACGTTGCTAGAAAGCAAGGACACAAGAAAAGACACTTTAATTTAGCACCTCAAACATTAAATTACAAAATACAATCATCCCCTTTTATCTGTCGTTTAGCTTTCTGCAGTTTCAGTTACCCACCGTCCACACCGTGGTCCAAAAATATTAGATAAAAAAGTTGGAAATAAACAATTTGTAAGTTTCAAACTGTGCTCCATGCTGAGCAGCATGATGAAATCTCGAGCCATCCCATTCCATCCAGCCTGGCGTGGGAATCACCCCTCTGCCCCGGGGCTCCATGCTGTACACGCTCCCCCGTTAGTCCCTTAGCAGCTCTGCCATCCTGGTATCACAGTGCTTGTGTTCAAGCAATCGGATTTTACTTGGCATTGGCCCCAAAGCACAACAGCAGTGATGCTGGCAATTGGGAGAGGTTGGCAAAGAGAAGCCATAAATAGTGTTTCATTTAAGTGAAAAGATGAAAGTTCTTGACATGATAAGGAAAGGAAAAAAAGTGTATGTTGAGGTTGTTAAGATCTTTGGTAAGAACAAATCTTCTATCCGTGAAACTGTGAACAATGAGCACACTAAATGTTCTATTGTGTTATTATTGTTAATTTCTTACTGTGCTTAATTTATAAATTAAACTTATCACAGGTATGTATGTATAGGAAAAAACATTCTGGGCTATCCACCGTACTGTCCACGGTTTCAGGCATCCACTGGGGGTCTTGGAAAGTATCCTCCATGGATATGAGGGGGCTACTGTAACCGGCAGATCTTCAACTTCACATGTTAAACAGAATAAAATTTATATACATAACTGAGAAGTGACAACTTTTCAGCCTGTCCCCAGGAATGTGATCCAAGTTCCTTTCTATACAGTATTAGACATACTACTGTTTTCTGAGCACCTGCCACATTCCAGGCATCATACAAGTGTGAGCTTTAATTTCATTAGTCATTCAGCAAATACATAGTTAACATTTTATGTGTCCTAAGCCCTGTTCCAAACACTAGCAATATAATAATGAACAAAACAAAGTTCCAGCTCTCCTGGGGGAGAAGTACTATAAAAATACCACATCATTTAGTCCTCAGGGAAAGCTATGAAGTAGTAATCTTTCCACGTTTCCAATGAGAAAAAAACAAACAAAAAACAGTTAAATAACTTGTGTAAACCAACCCACCTAACTAGCGGGAGAGCTGGGACGTGGGTCTGTGTCTTATTTCACAGCCCAGGCTTTGCTCACGGTCGCACATTGCCTGGCCTTGGAGTTTAACAAGTGCACTAATACCAGGCTTTCAAAAGTGAACATGTTTTCTTGATTTGGATCATTAGACTTTGAACATCCGTTAAAGAACGGCATTATTATACCTTGAAGGACAGACCAAAGAAAAACTTGTGTAAATGTTCACACTCATTTTGGATTCTATACTTAAATACAGTAATGTCAGTGTCCAAAGTTTAACCTGATAGACAAATCTGAGAATGTCATTTTAGATAAAGGGATGAAAAGTTAATGGAAACTGACCAAAAAGTGTTTGTTTTTGAAAATGACATGTTTCAGTGTGAAACTATAAACTGTTTACTCTACTGATAACATAAGTGGCTCTACCCTCTTCATAACCCGTTATCCTGCAACTATGCACGATCGAGCACGACTGCTACGTTCATATCTTGTCAGTATGGCTTATTCCCATCTTACCAGACCAGAACCCCAGTTAAAAGTAAGAAAATCCATTTTATAAGCAATGAACATACTTAAATTTAATACCTAGATATCAAATTTTAAAAGGTAGAAGGAACCCAGTTCATATAGCAAACTTGAAAGATAGCATTTTGGGAAAAACCTCACAAAGTATCTAAGAGCACAGAAGAACCAGAGCACAGAAGATTCTTTCATGCCTGTTTTTCAAATGGAGTCAGGTAGGTATGTTTTGTGTTTACGCAGAGTAAGGCTTACAGTCTCAACCACGGTGGCAACGCAGATGACTCACTCGGGCTGCCACTGCTGTCAATGCTGAGCCCCAACGCAACTGCCTTAATTTTAATAAGACATTTACTTTCTCACTTGTATGCTGAAAATTAGCATCACTTACATACTCAGCTTCTGGGCAAACATCTCGTTTCACGTGATCTGAGAATTCAGAAGATCTGGGCATCTCCTCCTGAAGTAAGTCCAGCTGCAACGGTGAGCTGTCCCTTGAGTTAATGCACGGGTGCTCGCCACTGTGAGTCTCCCACTCTTCCTCAGCTCCCCTGGGGCCGGTGACTGCAGGTGGTGGCTCCAGGTTTGGAGCCGCTGCTGATATTGAGGGTGCTATTTCAGAAAAGCCTGCTGCTCCCAAGAATGGATATGGAAAGAGTGATGATGACAACAGAGGACAGACGGGGGGTTCAGGCAGGAAAATGGTCATAAAAGTGTCCAAGTGAGGAGAAGGGAGTGCTGGAAGAGACAGCAAGCCACTGGAGGGCGGCTCAGGCAGACGCTCCAGGGCAGTTCCTGACGCTGCACATTCTCTTCCCAGAGAGGCCATGGCTGGGGGGGGGAAAGCTGGGATGAGGTAGGGGGCCTGGCTGGGAATCATCACAGCAGACGGGAGTGCCGGGCCCGAGGCATGGGGACAGGAGGCAGTGGAAGAGCACCAGGGCTGCGTGTGTCCAAGTGCGCCCCTGGCACGGGAACTGGAGCCAGCTTCAGAGCTGCCATCCAACAGCACAGGCAGCTTCTTGCGTTTGTGCTTCCCTTTCCTGCAACCAGCTGACCTTGTCTGCTTGCAAGTAGAATCTCCTGAAAGGATAAACATGGAGGCACACTATGGAAAATTAAACCCAAAAAAAGAAGAGAACAATGTCATTTATAGGTAGTTATAAGAAGATTACAAAGGAATACACATTTGCCAATACTACCAGAACAGCACAAAGTAGCTCCAAAAAGATGAACAAAATTCTGGACAAGAATAGTTGCTATAAAATAAACTTATTTCAGTATCTCTCAATCGGTTTCTTAGAAAAACCAGTTTCTCAGATCTAGGATCTAAAGAAAGATCCTAGATAAGCTGTTGATATAAATAGCTTTATTTTAACATCTCTCAATTAGTTTCTTACAAGTAAAATTCCTGTTTTTCCCTGCTAATCTCCTAGTACTTACACATGATTTGTAACCACTACAGACATGTGTTATAATGGTATATATTTTATAAAAAATCTATCTACCTTGAACATACGAATATTTAGCTTTGCTTCTGCTTTCTTGCTGAAGATAGGAGCTGTAGGGTGACGACAGGATCTTTTCCCGGAATTTGTCGACATAGTTCTGTTCTTCCTTCTGTGTGTGGGCTGACAGAACAGCCTTTGTGAGCCCTACACTTCTGAATTCTTCCAGGGTGAAAGGAACCGGCTGTGTGTTTAGGGTCCAGGGCTCACACGCTAGGGTAGCATCCTCTGCTGAGGTGGAAGACATACTTAATTTTAATTTCTATCAATAATTTGCATTTATTTTTATTTTTAAAATTACCTTTCAATAAATTTTTACAAACATTATTATAACTACTGGAATATAAAAAACTTTATCAGTCTAGAATAGAAATTCTTATTTTTCTGTCTTTATAGTCTTTGTACAAATGTATATACATTTTATGGAGTTGTAATAATCAGTATGCAAACATTTATTTATTTAAATTTTGTTTTTACTGCAAACATTTTCTCTCTCCCTGAATTCTTCAAAATTGTTATTTTTGAACTTATTTTTAAATAGGTAATATATTCATGTGGTTCAAAAATCAACAAGTATTAAAAAGGTATTTAGTAAACGCTCCCCATCCCTGTCCACCATCTGCCTAGTTCTTATTCATTCTCCCCACAAGAAACCATTTCTACTACACATCCTTCCAGTTTCTTCAAGCATATATCAACGAATCAGATAGATTGTTATCTTCCTCCCTCAACCCTATTGTGACCCAAAAGGCACAGGTGTACATTAGCCTGCAACTTACTTTTTTCACTTAACAATATCCCTTGGAGAACTTTGTCAGTCCACAGATAGCTGTCTCATACTTTTGTACACTGCGTGGGGTTCCACTTTATGTGTGTAACACAGTTTACTAAAAGTAATCACCTGTGGATGGACTTTGGGTTGCTTCTTTTATACTTGTTTATTTACATATTTATTTATTATTTATATATAATACTTGCACATTTTAATTTATTTATTGTTGATATACAATGGTTATACATATTTATGTCTCACATCTAAAAATTACTTCCTCCAAGAACAAAAGACTATCATGAGTGCTGTGGTGGGTTCCCGCAACATCTGTTCCACCTCTGTCCTGCGGTGCAGCAGCCAGGTGGTTTGGGTGGGTCTGGCCCCACCCCACTTCCAGAAGTGGGCTTTGCCTGGTCTAAATCAACACGGCAGACAGAGGGCTTCCGCTTCTGGCCAAGATGTAGTAACAGGGGTTGAACTGAATTTACCTTCCTGCCTGAAATGACTAAAATAAAAATAGACAAAATATACGAAACGATAGGTTTCAAGGCACTGAACATCAAGTAATGAGGAGAGTGATCCCTGAGGACATGAAACAAATGAGGTGAGCCCTAGGACTGCCCCAGCTTACTGCCTGGAGAGTTTCCAAGGCACAGGCTGGGGGACCTGGGTGGAGTCTGGTGACCTCCCTGAGTTGAAGAGACAGAGCTGAGAGTTGGCTGAAGCTACGGTGGCTGGAGTTTCCAGGAAACAGTACTGGAAAGGAAAGAGCAGCACAGACAGAGAACTGAGAGCCAGAGACCCCTTGAGCATGCAGAAGAGTGCTCACCAGCGCACTCACGTGAGGAAAATCCACCTGAAGGATTAGAGGGAAAAACAACTGAAGCTCACACAAGGTGGAGAACAGTGCTTGCTCCCATCAGCCAGACTAGAAAACCTCGTAACTCATGGTGCTAGGTATAGTACTCAGAAGGATCTTGCCTCAGCAGCCGAGAAAAATTAGGCCTGGACTACACACTGCACTGGTTCTGCCTAACAAATTTAAAAAGCAAGGCTTAAAAGATCAGTCTGTCTCCAGGTAACTTAACTGGGTCCCAGAATAAAGCTCAAGAATATTTACAGGCGTACAAAAATATGCAGCACCCATTCACAATGTCTGGCATCCAACCAAAAATCACCAGGCATGCCAAGAAGCAGGAAAATATGACCTCACAATAAGGAAGAAGACACTGAGAAACTGAGTCTATTAATATAATTTATATGGACAAAAGACCTAAAATATTCAAAACAATCTTGAAAAAGAACAAGGTTGGAGGATTTACACTACCTGATTTCAAGACCTACTATAAAGCTACACGAATCAAGACCACTCTATACTGGCATAAGGGGTTGATCAATTCTGTCCATCTTTTCGGAGAACCAACTTTTAGCTTTACTTTTCTCTAAATGTCTGTTTTTCTATTTTGCTGATTTCTGCTTTTATCCTTCCTTCTACCTTGGGTTTATTTTCATCTTCTTTTGCTAGCTTCTTAACTTGGAACTTAAGATCACTGATTTGAGACATTTCATTAGCATTTAAAGCTATTAATCTCCTTATAAGCTGTTTTTAGCTGCATCCCACAAACTTTAGTATACTGTCCTTTCATTATCAATTGATTTTGAAATATTTTCTAATTCTCTTTGCGATTTCTATTTTGAATCATGGATTATTTAGAAATGTGTCATTTAATTTCTAAATGTTTGGATTTAAATATCTGATTAACTGATTGTTAATTTAATTCACTCTGGCCAGAGAGTAGTTTATATATCATTCAGTACTTTTAAATTTGAGACTTTATTACAGCCCAACATGTTTTAAATCTCAACGAACACATTGTGCGCACTTGAAAAGAATGTGTTATGCAGTCACTGGGTGTCACATTCTCTAAATATCAATTAGATCAAAGCGGTTGATAAATGTTGTTCAGATCATCTATTTCTTTACTTATTTTTTGCCTAGATGCTTTATCCATTGCAGAGGGGGGTGTACTAATAAAATCTTCCAACTATGATTATGGAAAGTCTATTTTTCTCTTTAACTCTTTCCACTTTTGCTTTATATCCTTCAGAGCTATTAGTGAACACACGACTATTGTGTCTTTCTGATGAATTGACTGTCTTATCGTTATGAAATGACCTGACCTTGACATCTATTTTGTATATATTAACACAGGAGCTCCAGCCTTCTTGTGCTGGTTGTTTGAATTGTGCATCCATTTTTCCATCCATTTACTCTCAACATGTTTGTGAATTTAAATTGCACTTCGTGGACAGCACATAGTTGGGCCTTCATTTTTTTTAATCTGTTCTGATAATTTTTGCCTTTCAATTGCAGTGTTTAGTCCATTTTATGTCATTTTATGAATTCAGAGCTATTATTTTATTATTTGTTTGGCTTGTTCCCTCTGTTTCTTTATTGTTAATCTGTTTCTCCTTTCCTGCTCTTCTTTTGGATTGAGTATTTTTACAAATTTCAATTTGTCAATTGGCTTTTTAGCTAATCTTTGTATCTCACATTCTACCTTAATTAGACTCTTCCATGGGTCCAAAAATGCCTATAATGACAATGGCTCCTGGAGACTAACTGTCAATATGTGATTTCCTATTCTGTTACTCATTCGCTACGTGACTCTGGACAAGTTACTTCATCTGTTTGTGCCTTAATTGTCCCATATATGAAGTGAAGATAATAACTTGCAAGGAAATGCCTTTGTGATAATGGTCCTCAGACCCCAAATTAGAGTCAGGAGGTAAAAAACTACAGGAATGAATATGAGCTTTCCAGAAAGCAAAAGACAGAGATACTACATAGCTTAAGAACATCTGGGCTCTGATTCTGTTTTTTCTCCTTGGGATGAAGATACAGCCTTACAGATGTTGAGACTAATTTAAGATCAGGAGAAACTATTATCAGTAAATATTTCCCAAAGCATATAGATTTTAGCATAAATTCATTCAAAGTGGTAATATAGGATCAGAGTGGGCCGGGCACAGTAGCGCACACCTGTAATCCTAGCACTCTGGGAGGCCAAGGCAGGAGGATTGCTTGAGCTCAGGAGTTTGAGACCAGCCTGAGCAAGAGAGAGACCCCGACTCTACTAAAAATAGAAAAATTAGCTGGGCGTGGCGGTGCATGTCTGTAGTCCCAGCTACTCGGGAGGCTGAGGCAGGAGGATGGCTTGAGCCTAGGAGTTTGAGGCTGTGGTGAGCTATGACGACGCCACTGCATCCTGGTCAGGGCGACAGACTCTGCCTTTAAAAAAAAAAACAAAAACAAAAGCGCAGTGACATAGTCAAAAAAAGAGCTTTCCACATTGGGTGAGACCAAATTTGTATGGGCTGTTTCATGGACAGCTACATGCCCACACGGGAACCGGAAGTGTTAAGAAAAGGTACACTCAAAAATGTGCACATGCTCCTGTCCTGAGGCGCTGGCTCAGCTCCAATAAAACTCTCCCTGGCTACTTAGAAACAGAATCTAATTTCACAACAGCTGTGTCTCTGGTCTTTCCCCACCAACCCACAGCCCGCCTCATCAAAAGCATGCTCTCCATCACAGGACTGTTGGGAGGATTTAGTGAGTTAACAGCTATGATGAACTAAGAACAGGGAGTGGGACACAGAAACAGCTCCACACATGTTAGCTAACACAACACTGAAGACCAGCAAAGATAAACTACGACATAATCTGAAAACTCAATTTAACACATTTCTCCCATTTCTTCATCTACCAAATTGTTATGAGCAATGAAAAAGGATAGGAGGCAGTAAAAAGGAATTTTTAAAAAAGGCATTAGATTAAAATAATTCACCAAGTAATTATGTTGTTAAATGGGGAGAGAGTTTTAAACATACTCTACTCATTGTTATCAGACCAATACAAAAATGTTAATGTATGTGTGATTGATTCAGTCACAACTAGTCAACACAGTTGAAATGCAGGTGAGTGAACACCTTCCCCAAAGGTCAGTAACCAAGTAACCTAACACAGTCCTGTCAATAACTGCATTAACAGTGGCTGCCACTAACTGAGGGCTCACAACTACGCACTTGTCAGGTACTGTTCTAAGTGCTTTAAATGAGTCAAATGATGTCACTGACAAATAACATAAGGGAAATACAGTTCAAAATATGTGACTAACACAAACATAATAACATTCCCTAAAATACTTTAATTAAATTAAAGGAGAAAATATTTATAATTTATTAGTTATAATTAAGCAGATGGTATTGATGACTTGTCTTCTCCTGATGGCGCATTTAAAGTCGGGTACACTTTCACAGTAACAGGTAACGCGGTACCTGGCTCCGTGGGTGCGACGTGGACAATGGTGCTGCTGTAACTGCACTGGCTCACGTCCGAGCCCAGGCCCAGCGCCGCGGTGGACAAGGTCCGGGCAGCTCCTCCTTCAGCGTCTGTGGACCACTCATTTGTTGGCATTTCTGACTTAGGTATGGCTGGGATCTGAGAGACAGCTGGTGACGTAAGAGAAACTGACAGTCAAAAGAGAAATTTCCAACAGGAAATTCATATAAAAGACCCAAACAGTTCACAGAAGTTCATAACTGACAAATTAAAGCCTGCTGGCCATAAAGCAGTAATACAAAAACAGGATTTTGTGATTACAGTTAAATAATGAAGGACAAGAAATTAAAGAGCAACAGAGAAAGGATGGATTTATAATTCTTTGCATCTAACACTGAAGCACATTCTTGTACCTTGCAATGCTTGGACATCATCTGCCTTGAGGTTCTGTTTGTCATCTTCTGAGGATGAAGAAGTTGTGTTTGCACAGGATATACACTTTCTTTTCAAAGCTGGAATGTTGTAGCTCTTCAGGTATCTGCAACAACATAATTAGGTCATCTATTCTCACCTGTCCCTTAGCTGGGCCACCTCCTACCTCTCTGTTTTTCTCACACCATTTGGTACTTTGTACTTTCTTCCCTGACCACCCCCGCCTCACTCACTGGACTGCAACATCTCTTTTACTATGGTCTTGAATAGATCTTTAAATCGTACACCATTTAACTTTGACAAGATTAGGTTTTGTCTTCTCAATTATACCACAGCTCCTTCAAAGAAAGGGTGCATCTTCTAATTTTCTGCACCCTCCATAATGTTCGGTATATTATGAACCGTAGGTAGTAGGCACTCCATAAATAGCTACCAATTTATAAAGAAACATCAAGATAGGATAGCTATTAAAAATTCTACGACGGCTCCATAGCGACGATGTATGCTTTTGGGAAAAATGAACATGTTATCAAAACTTGTGTCTCATACCTGATAACACTATCAATACAGTTTATCTGTTGATAGGATGGGCTGTGCTCATCTTTCCTCAAATCCTCACAAGACTCAGTACATAGGCTATTATTTTTCAATGTCTGGAAAGAAGAAAAGGCCTTCTGCTCATCTGAAAGACAATGAAAGTTTGTGCAATTAAAAACATTTAGCAAGTAGTTAAGAACATATTCAATAAACTTAAATTGTGGTACTTTATGTTATATACATTAATAGACCATTATGCAGCTATTAAAATGAGCTTAGATCTAAGTGCACTGATATAAAGATATCCACAACACTTAATGAGTGAAATAAGGTGCAGAGCACGATACACATAGAATGGTTACATTTGTATTTTAAAAAATAAGGAGTGAAACAAATGCTTCAGGCAAAGATTATCAAGGAATGAAACTATAGGCGAAGGGTTGATGGGAACTTTCCAATGCTGAGCTGACACTACCCGCATAACTGGTCGATCCTGGCATCACTGAGAGTGGGATGAACACCACTGTGCACATCTCACGTGGTGCAATACAAAGTGCATAGCATTACCTGTGTCCAGCAGGATTTTCTGTGATGACTGATAGAATTGTTCTTTATTTGTGCTGTCCATTATGGTCGTCACTAACACCATGTGTGCCTCATCAAGCACTGGAATGTGGCTTGAGCAACTGAGGAACTAAAGGTTTAACTGAATTTAATTTGAATTTAAATCGCCAAATGTGGCAAGTGGCCACCACAGTGGACAGCACAGGTGCAGAGAGGAGAACAAAACCTCCAGGCCTGAGCACTGAAGAACTTAACACATTAACTGCCACATGAGTTGTATTTGACTCACACTACTTTTGAGCCCAGGGCCTCGTGAAGCATATGTGACTCACATGTCTCTTCACCTTGGGAGCCCCGTGAACTATTTTTCAAGTTGCATATAACTCAAGCACAGAAAACAATAAAAAATAACACATCTTTCATTAAATTACAAAGAATTGTTTTGTTTTCAAAGTTTTTATTCTATTTTTGTAATAAATCACTGGGGCCCCAAAGAAAAAATTTTTTTTCTAGTGTGGCAGTCAATGTGTTCAAACTTCTGCAGAGGAGACTGAGCCAGAAAAGGAGGCTGAAAAATAACTGCCAGAAAAGTAAGAGGAAATCCTGCAGGGTACGGTTTTATCTCAAAAAAGGAGCAACTGATTATGTCAAATACAGTTGGGAGGTTTTGCAAGAAGCATTAGATGCTACTGTTGCTAATAAAGGTTACTTTTACCTGGCTTGGAAGAGACCTCTCTATTTTTAGAGGGTTATATGGAAAAAGGACTGTATTAACTTTTACTCATGAACTTTTTTTAACTTTTAGTTTTTGAAATAGTTTTAGACTTGAAGAATTGCAGAACTAGTCCAGAGAGTTCCCATATCCACCTCACCCAGCTTCCACTGAGGCTAACACCTTTACAACATAATAAAATGACCAAAACTAAGAAATTAAGCACAATGCTACTGAATGAAATACAGACTTTATTTGGATTTTGTCACTTTACCACTAAAATGTCATTTTTCCATTCCAGGATCTCACATGGTGGTATTTCCTTAGTCTTTCCTCACCTTTCATGATCTTGACATTTTTGAGGAGCACAGTAGGGACTTTTGTAGAACGTCTTCAATTTGAGTTTCTCTGGTGTTTTCTCATGGTTGGACTGAGGCTATGCATTTGGGGAAAGAAACCACAGAGGTGCATGCCTGCTTAGTGCGTCAGCCCAGCACACGTGAGGTTCACCTTTTGTTACCCTGATCGTTGGTTAAGGTGGTGTCTGTCTGGTTTCTCCTGTGTGAGGTCACTATTTTACAACGTAATAAATAACGTAAACAATACATGTTTTGGAGGAATATTTTGAGATCATGCAAATATCCTGTTTCCCTTAAACCTTCACCTACTTGGTTGCACAACAATGTAAATGTATTTAATGCCACTGAACTATGTACACTTCAGTGGTTAAAATGGTAAATTTTGTGTTATGTGTATTTTATCACAATTAAAAGAAAACCCTTTCATATAATAATTTTAGCATTCATTGGAGGATATTCCCTGCAGCAATTATTACTGTGGAATTCTAATAGCAATTTTCTATTTTCCTCATTCTTCTACATTGATTAATTAAACTTCTTCTATAAAGAGTTTCCCTTCTACCTTTTCCCCGTTTATTTATGCATTAATTTTTTCAGTAGGGACTCATGGATATTTATTTCATTTGTCGGGTTATAATCTAATATTATCATTATTTATTTTTTTGCTCGAATTGTCCCAGTTTGGGCCATTGGGAACTCTTTAAAGTTGTCTCCTGTGACATGCCACCCTCACTTTTTTTTTTTGAGCACTTCGTTACTTTCTGGCCCTGGCTCCTTTACTGAAAAAACGTATTTAGAAACCAAGACTTGAGTGCTAGGTGTGCTCATTGCTAAATGTGTCCCAGCCTGCAGGTCCTCTCAACAGACAGGACAAGTAAACGTATGTCTGTATAGGAACCCGTCTACCCATCCGTCCCCGTATATGAAACAAAAAGGCCAGGACTTCGTACTGATACCTTCAAACTCCAATCCAGCACCACAAAATTCATTCTAACATTCCTCTTTTGATTATCTGTAACTTCTTTCTCTGACAATGAGGAATCTGTTACCATTATCTATAACGTAGTCACCAATTTGTTCAACCCTAGTATAAAGTAGCTCCCATACTCTGGTGGGAAACAATATACAGTGTTTGTCAATGTTTTGTATTTAGCCCTAGGGTATCCCG